ATCTTTAACTGCCATGGCATGGGGGGTAACCAGGTGAGTCTCATGGTCCTCTTCTCTTTCATCCTGACGTCTGGGGTCAGCCTGATCCATATTGTGTTCGGCATGGTTTTGTTTTAAATGAATTATCTAAACATTTGAAGAGACTTCCTGGACAGCACTCAAAACTTTTCACTCCAGTGTGGAAATGTATTTTGTTGTTACAGTCTCCACACAAAATCTGATGACTGTTCAAAAACCATAGAAATAAGAGACAAGATAAGGATCTTTTTCATCTTTCCTGACCCACATTGTCTGCTGCTAGACTTGTACCTTTCAGCATTTATTGCTGAAGTCAGAAAATTGGCAGCAAATTTTGCTGTGGAGCAGAAAGCTACACAGCCATGTTCGAATTATCTTCCATTTATTCGCTTTTGTGTTTGACTTTCCAGCTGAAACTTGAATGGAACAGAGCTCTTTGCTCTCCCAGGGCACGTAGCTTTGTACAGTAGTTTAAGCCAAAAAAATGTGTGTAAAAATCAGGCATTGAAGTTTAGGGAAAAAAGTGCCCTGTGCTTTTCTAATAAGGACTTTTTTTTAAGTTATTGTTTACTTAATTGGGACTACATAACAGTGCCGTAATTAAAAAGCAAACATTACGTGAGATAACAACATGCCCCAAAACCATAAAGCAAAGTTTTCTGTAATCCATTGTTACTGATAATCAATTCTCTAGTCCTTCATGGTGTCTTCATTCACTTTCACTGGACTTCTCTCTACCTGGAGGTCTGCTCTTAACTGTAGCTGTCCCATGTTATGTAATGAACCATACTGAATAATAATCATAATCACAGTCATTGTAATGTCCCTGTACATGTCATGTAAAAATGCTAGTTAAAGGTCAGGCATGTTGTTAAATCTCTTTGTGTAGTGTTTATGAAGGAGGTATGATAGTGTTATGGAGCCTCATTTAAGTAAAGCGTCATCAAAAAAAATCTAATATTCTACATTTTTGTGTTTTTGAATTCCTGTCTTCCTGCCACATTGTAATCGAGTTGTTCTCAGCAGTGTTTTATTTTGTGAAAGCAGTGCTACCCCATTTTGAGCCTCTTTCAGGTCTCTAGAGTTCAGCTGGATTGAGGCAGGCCAGTAATTGGATGGGGTAACCTCTGCAGGAGATGTGTATTTTGTTTCGTGTGTCCCTGAAATTGACAAAGGCGAAAATGTATCTTCAACGATTAGAGCAAAGCAGTGCTGTGCTACATCAATGTGCAGAGTGTCCTTGACATTCCTTGTCTGAGAAACAACAACTAGCAATTTGCCTTTTTTCTGTGAGACAGATGGAATGGTTTTAATGAAACCAGATAGGACGACCAGAGGTTTGCATATTTGCACAGAATCCGTGACAGCATTCAACTGTGGTACTCGAGAACAGCTGAGTACTTTGATTTTCAATCCACCTGCTAAGTGTAAATAACCTGATTACTGTAATGACTGGCTTCATGAGATTGCTTAACCAGTTATTAAACTATTGGTGATTTCAAGAGATCAATAACTCTTGCAAGAATTTGTGTGAGAGCCATGGTGTACTACACAGGGGAATTAAATGTTTTGCAGTACGTGCCATGAAACAGTGAAACTAAATGTTTCTAGTAAATTAGTGGGGGGGTTTTGTGTGTGATATCGTCTCTACTGGGAAGAACAGAGTTCAGTGCCGCTTGTTTTTTTTTCTCATCCATCCTTTCCTACCTTCCTCCTCTGCAGGTGTTCTCCTACACTGCCAACAAAGAGATCCGGACCGACGACCTCTGTCTGGATGTGTCAAAGCTGAATGGCCCTGTCATGATGCTCAAGTGCCATCACTTGAAGGGCAACCAGCTGTGGGACTACGACCCTGTGGTGAGTTCGGCTCCAGTGCTCCACTGCAAGCCGACAGGAGTGCGTGCTGATCCGCCAGCAGGGCTGGAGAAAGTTACCGTAAAGAAGTAATCCATTACAGTTACAAGTTACTTGTGCAAAAGAAAGCCTTTGAGGATTAAAAAGAGATTGGGAGAGCGGTAAAATCTTTATCACGCAACCAAGAGGAAACAGGTTATTAAAAATACTTCCTCCCATCCTCTTTTTAGGTTAAAAAAATATTTTTAGCTGCAACCTGATAATCTAGTGCATTACTTTATGAAAATATCTTTTCCCAATACCATTAACAAGGCAGATTTCAAAATTGTTGTGAGCCTTTGAAAAATACTCACGTTTTCAGCATCTAAAGAATCTCCTGTTCATTTTCCCAAATTATTTTTTATTAAGAAAATAATTTCCTTTTTCACAACGCTGTGAGAAGCTAGAAGATCTTGGTGTGTCTGGAAAGAAAGGCTGTTGCAGGTTTGGTGGATTTTGTTTCTGGTTAGTGTTTTAATTTAACCACAAGAGTCAAACCACAGAGGGCTGCTTCAGCAACAATATAGGGACTGAGCTGTCCTACAGGGCAAAGGGGAGGGCTGGGCTTTCCACTGGTGCTGTGAGCACCGGAGGAGCTGGGACACACTAGATGTGTGTGAGAGTTTCATTTGTTGTCTTCTTGAAACCTAATATCTATGTATACATATTTATTTTACATGCAATCTGTGATGAGTTTGGGACGCACAAGGTTAACAGGGTGTCTTGAAGATATTAGGAGTGGTACAGTAGTCTACCAGCTTAACACCTCCACCAATGGCAAAATATCTTCAAGACAAGACCAGTTACCATTCCGTTTTAGGAATAAAGGAAGAGTACACAAAATAAATAAAAGTAGAATCTCACAGGTAAAGGTAAACACGGTTTAGTACTGAAAAGCAGAGGTTGAAATACTAGCAAGACAGCTGGCCTGTATGGGAGGACTGGATGTGAGGGAAGAATCCTTAAGTATCTCTCCAATACAGTGCATTCTGCTCTGTTCAGCCTCATCACCAACACCTAAAACGCAGCAACCACAATGAAGAACAAAAAAAAGACATGCTAGTAACATAGCTACCTGTACCAAAAGCAATGACTTCCCAGGGCACATGGGCAGAGATTCAGTCCAGATGTCATGGAGCATTTCATTTGCCCTGATCTGTCCCCTGGCAGAGTTTTGTCTGGGTGCAGTTCGTGAAGCGCACAGTGGTCAGTGACTCATTTCTCCCCTCCTTTCACAGACACTCACATTGAGGAGACTGAACTGAATCCAATGACTCTATACAAGCCAGGCTATAAACCGGCGGTATCGCTCTCTCTAGATTTATTCTTTACGGGCGCTGCTTTATGGAGTTTTCGTCATGTTTCTGTTCGATAACAATGTGCTCTCACCAGCGACTTTTTTAACTATTAAGGCAGTTACACAGTCTGCTGGCTATGAGACTCTGAATTGCCCGCTGTTACTGTGCTCAAACACAAAAACTGATTGCTGTTACCTCTAAAACTGCTAACAGAAGGGTTGTTTTCTGAGAAAGATTGTGTCCTTGTTGATGTGTTCTCTGGTAACAGAGCACTAAAACACCTACCCCTCTCTTTCTCATTCTTAATGTCACCATTTTGTTTTTACAAGAGTGCGAGAGCTGGCTCGGACTCCTCAGTCTTCCCCTGGTAATTGCTGAGCCGCAGCCCAATTGTCTGCTGTGCCAGACATTGTCTCCGTGAGTGAGGCGCAGGGACAGTGACAGCTCAGCAGAAACTTTGCAAAGGCACACCTCAAAGAACGCACTTGCTTTACTGAGCCACTGTCAAGTGAAGAAATGAAGAAAATGGAAGAAAATAGGATTTTGTCTGAATGGCCTTTTCTGCTGATCTGGCAGTAGTTTAAAAAAAAAAAAACTACTATAGCTCTAATACTTTTCATTCCCTTTTGTAATATTAAAGGATACCACTCTGGGACAGGGTACAGATTGCAGTAAGTGCTCTCCATATTGCTCTCTTGAATGAGTTTTCTTTTTCCTTTCATAACTGTTTTATTAGGCAGGTAGTCTGAAAGAGTGATTTTTTTAGGCTCATTTGGCTTTCAAAGTCCTAACCTTACTCCTTACTCCAGCTCTAACCATAAGACATGTTAAAACTGTGCCGTGCCCAGTATTATGTATTATAAAAGTACTGTTATGTTTTGTGTGACGACAGTCCTGAGCAAGTATGAATGTTGTTGTATCACCGCTGTGAAGGTGATACGCCAGCATGTTTTGTAGACTACACGAGAGTGCCCTTGAATACAATGTGGGGAAGCCCATAATTGTTGTGCCAGTCAAATACAGTACTGTATGTCTGTTGCACACTAATCCAGATTCAGTCTGAAGCAAGATAATGTGCTCGTTGTTTTTAAAATGGGGGCAAAGCAAGTTCTCCCCAGGTGTTCTTGCAGTGTGTGGATGCTAATCACAGCAATTCATTTATCATGGCTCTTTATTTTTGTTTATGGGTACATCTTCTGATTATTTTTTAAACTTGTTTTGTTATGCAGTGAAGAAGAACTTACCTCTTCAGTAAGTTTCAGTCGGGGGAATAAAAACATACGGAAAATGCTGGCTTGCCAACTTAAAAAAAAAAGGTGCTAATTAAACAGATTTTGAAGATAGCAGAAAGCATCTGTCCAGGCTGTCTTCTTGCGCTGGCAAAATGTAATCCAGCCACTTCTCTCCAGAAGACGAATTTCTTCAAATCATAACCAAGTGCCTGGTCTCCACCCAGCCTGTAATCTGATTCATTCTCTAGGCTCTTATTGGCAGCTCACTCATGAGCAAATATTGTGAAACACATTTACATGTGAGAACTGTTGTTAAATCCTACCTCACAGAAAATATTAATATTTAGCAAGACTTTTCTGCATGTTAAAGTGGCTTTGAGTTGCCACATGTATTGAAAAGGTCAGCATTTTCTGTCTCCTAAGAATTCTAGAATTTGAGATTTTCAAGCAAGAGGAATCCTTTTGGCTATTTTGCTGTTTATTTTCAGTAATATTTTCAGAAACAGTTCTTGGTGGAATAGTTAAAATGGTAAACTCAATCTTAGATTGCAATGAATTCTCTTTTACTAGATATTTTACCGTTTTCACTACTTCCTGATATTTCCTGCTTAAGATGTTTGGTGGTTCTGTTCCCTAGAATTTGAAGGCCATCAATGGTATTTTAAAGACTAAAGATAACCCATATCTTGTAGAAAACTTCAATTAAAAGAATCTCTTTTTAACTTGTGCCATTCTTCATGAAGCCACAAGCTATTTCAAGAAGGACGTGTGATTGAAGGTGCTGGATTTCACATTCTGGGAAGTGAATTTTCACTATAGACTGAAAAAAAGTTAAATAAAGGCAGGAGCAGGATAATGAACATATTTCCCACACGACAGATTCCCTTTAAAGACAGCAGTGGTAACTGGGCCATGTGCAATGTATTTCTAGCCCATTTTTTTTGTCAATTTCAGCAGATAATTTCCAGGGACAGTCAATCACACAGCTGCTTTCTGAAATTAGCACTTCTATTAGCACTTGAAATTGCCAAACCTAACGTGCCAAGAGAAGTTACCAGAAACTGCTAGAGAAATCAAGTACTGTCTCATAAAGTCCAAAAAGTCACAAAATCAGAGTTAAAAAGTACTACATTGGGGATAAATTATGGAAGCTTGTTTCAATTTCCAGCTAGTTCAAAGAGGTACATTTTGGGCCCTTGATTCTCTCAGTAAAACTTATGGCCCTGCTAAATTGAAAGCATACTGTTATTCTTCCTGCAGATCCAGCACAAAGTGCTCTCAGCGGTTCATGCAGTCAGTGACCCTTTTAGAATGAATTTCCTTAAACAGCGGTTCAAGAAGAATGTTATTCTGACTTGGCCATGCTGGAGGTGTACAGCACTGGCTCAAGTGTATTATGTGCAGTGTACTTTATAACTTACTGCTGTTAAACATAACCACATCATGTCAATGAGGAAAGACTGCTTTCAAGTCTTTTTGACAAAAAATCTGCAAATAATAATTTAAATACATTTAAATCAATGCAACATTTAAAGCTTTGGAGCTTCATGGAAGAGCACATTGTAGTAACTTCCTGATTTCTGTAAATATACAGTATACTTCAGAGAGCTTTTTATCGTTCCCGCTGGCCTTCTTAAAGTTACCCCTCTCTGCCTGAACTGATGTGCAGTCGAGCTGCTGGTGCAAAATGACAGCTGTGTGTCTCCATGCTGGGTGCTGAACTTTGATGGTGGATGATGTAGGTCTCCCTCATATCTAAAGTGCTTTGAGATCTGTTGAGAATGATAAAACTATTATATCAAATGACCACTAACCTACACAGATGGTGCTGTTACACATTGGTGCCAAGAGTTGGTGAATGTGTTCTGGTTATAACAGCAGCAGTGCTACAGTATATTGCTCGAAGTTCATTTCCAAATGTGTTTTCACACAGAAAGCTTCATCAATCCAGTGTAGAGGATGCTGTGCCCTACCCACGTTACATGTAAAAACAGGACACAGAACCCATGTTTCCAATGTGTCCCAAAATTAGCCCAGTAAGGCAATAACTGCATTATGCTCGGGTCACAAATGGTTTTATTTTTTGTCATCCACTGTCAGCATTCCCAGCTGTTATCCATCTGCTGTGAGGTGTCGAGTGCCACTGTGGTTCGTGGCTTTGCTTTCCGGTTTTGTTGAAATGGCACTGTATCCTTTCATCCTTTCACAACCTTTCACGGTGTCACGATCCTGTCATTGATGAACTGGGTTGGTCATAATGTCTTGGCAGTGTAAAAATTGCTGATTGTAAATGCCCTAGATGGCAAGCAATAGTGCATTGGTTTAGTCCAGCCTCCACATAACAGTGGCACAAAGGTGGTGGCCTTGATAAACAAGTATGTTGGTTCCTCTATGTGTTTTTCTTTCTTGACTTTCTCAAAGTTCAGTCTCTTTCCCTGTCACCTTCCTCCCACACTAATGTAGTGATTTAGTGCTTAAGCACCAAAGTCACTTGAGTGAATCATGGTCAGCTATGAATGATCAACTGATCACAATGACTCCAAAAACAATGATCAGTATCCAAAATCCATATATATATATAATTTCTGCTAATAACCTTGTGTCTGATGTTCGTTATTGAAGTAAATCCTTAAATTGACTTCTTCAGTACCTTTGAGAAATTTGAACTGAAATTGAATCAGATCTCCTCTGATCAGGGCTAAAGTTATCTGGTTCCTTTGGCCTGTTTATGTATGATAAATGAGATTAACTATTCCAACCATAGTAATATCACCTTTATGCCTTGTTCACCAAAACTAAGAACACCATTTGCATTTGTCTTACTATTGCATTTAAAGTTCTAGAATCATTCTCTTGATGTCAGTTTGACACATTGAGCTGTAATCTGTTGACCTTTTGAGCATTTTCCCCAAAAAACTAATTTCACAAATCATGATAGACACTGAAGTTTTGGATAGGGTCATAGTGGTTTTGTGTTTCCTGAGCTACCACTAACGTCTCACAAGAGACAAATCTAATGTTTGTATAATTTGTACTGTATATTTAACAGGTTTGCAAGAATCTAGAATGAGTATTTAACCTTATACTGTAAGTCACAAAGAGTACTGGTAGTGTATTCCTAATTACCATTTATCTCTCAGGCTGTAATTTTATCTTACAGTCACTTTCAACCTCCATCTCGACCCTAATATAGCTGTATTATTTTACATGTAAAACCTTGAGTGTGCTTGTTCTTTTTCCAAATGGAAGAGTTTTATCTTACAATTAGAGTGCTTTCAATTTATGCTGCCTCCTACCCCAGACTTTCACCTCAAAATTCAGTCCAAAACAACTGTGACGTTGTCATCTACCCATCTCCAGTCCCACCTGGCTTACAAAAGACAGACGGTGCTTGTTTTGTGTTTTGTCTTAATCTTTCTTTCAGTTTTTTTGTTCATTCACTCATTTATAAGCATCTCATCTATTTTTTCTGTCTTTCTATCTTTGTGTATCTGTAACTCCCCCAGTTCTCAACCAACAGCCCGATGTTGTTAGTTCTGACAGGCAGCAGCGGTAATTCTCTGCCCAGGGATTTCAATGAAGCTCGCTGTGCTAATGGAGAAGGTAGAGCTAAATGGGCAAGGAAGTAGATCTGATTGCAGAGCCAGGGTTTTGTAGAGGTCAAGCTAAGAAGGTTCATTAAATTAAGAAAGATTGATACCTGAAACCAGCTCTATCGAATCGGCACGGACTTGCAGGCTGCTGAAGGCCTTAACTAGTCATCCTCTCTTGGGCTGAGGGGATTAGGGTGTGAAAAGTCAGTGCCAGCGGGGATAAAAAAAATGTTTCTGGTAATGCAGTTAGAGCATTTACAGACAAGGATGATGTGTCGAAATTCGCTCTAGTATTGCACTAAGCATTACAGAAATAACAAAAGCAGAAGAGCATGAAGAAAAGTATTAAGATGGAGAAAGTCATTCAACCCAATTTCCTCTTATGGTACCTAGTAGCTCATTGATCCAAGGATCTCATCTAGTTTTATATACCTACAGTACATTTATTTAACCAGGCTCTTAACTCCATGCCAACAATGCTCCTTGAGGACAGTTGACAGTAGTTTACTTTGTACTGTATATATCAAGAGACATACTCTGAAGAAGATGGAAACTTTTTGTTATAATTTTGTGAACTGTGCCTGTGGAATTCTTGCCATGTTTTATTAGTGTTACGCTCTTTCCATTTTTAAATAAAGACTCAAGTCCCATTTTTTCCTTTTTTGAGCTTTTTTCATTTTTAATTTTTTTGTCGCTTTTAGTACACGGAGAATTGTTTTTAGCTTTTTTACTTTTTTAAACAGCTTTCATTTTTCTCTGTGCTTTAAATGCATCTGTTATTGTTAAGCCTTTTATAGCTACTGGCGTTACTCTAACTTGCAGCATGACCTACACGTTGAAGATGAATTGCTTCTTGACCGGTTTTTGAGCAACTCGTCTGAAGAGGTTTGATCAGGGAGCTACTGTATGTCAGCAGTTCAGTTCAGTTGAGTTTATTTGTCATATGTACAAGTGCAATGAAATGCTTATTTGCATATATGCCCCTAATACAAAGGACTTTAAGGAGACACCAAAACATAAACGCAGAACAGCAGCAGGAACAATAAGTTAAATGGCAGAGAACTTAAAGAACAAGTCAGACAAGCAGTGCGAGAAGAGAAAAACAAAATTGAGTTGAAAAGGAACGAGTAGAAGTTAATTCGAGATTGAACAGTAAAAAACAAGAAGAAGAAAACAGTTTTGGAACCTCTAACTGTTGCTTTGTCAAAATGGTGTCTTCTGTCCGCTCTCAAGCTGGTGCTTGTGCTGATGTATAAGGGCCGTTGAACTTCAAGATTGGATCCTGACTCTCCAGAACCCATGTTTGACCACCCCTGGCAGAATCCATCATTAGTCACTGAAGTTTGATAATATGTTGAATAGTGTCCCACAGGGCTTGGCAAATTAAGGTCATGTTGAAATTATCTTCATTGCAACAAGGAATTAATTTGTCAGATTAAATACACTTTGTGGATTTGTTTATGCGAGCCGATGGCTTGCCTTTACTGACCCGTTGTGAAATATGTAGACAGTTTGCCAGAATGGAATAGGGTGCCAGCAAACGCTTTGTCTAAACTCTGAATATTCTTGCATGTTCTCTCCTAGAAACTGACGCTGGTGCATGTGAACAGTAACCAGTGTCTAGACAAGGCCACCGAGGAGGACAGCCAAGTGCCCAGCGTGAAGGACTGTAACGGAAGCCGCTCCCAGCAGTGGCTGCTGAGGAACGTCACACTTCCCGAGATATTCTAGGACAAACCGCCAAGGACAGTGGACATGCCATTCACTAAATGATGAGAAAAAAAGGAGCCAGAGAAATACAGAGGGAAATGTTTTTGGGCTACCTCGGCGCAGACCTTTCTGCTACCCCTGTTTCGGCAGCGGGAAGGAAAAATGATGGCCAGACGGATCTCCCAACTCCACGAGAGAGCACGAAGTGAGAGACACTTGGGCATGAAGGAACAAAACTTGTTCAGTGTGCATTTGCCTTCCTTGTGACGAGGCCGTTGTCCTAGTGCAGCTGCACATCCGTTATGTTTACGTGACTGCCTCTTTTATTTTTTCAAGATTTCTTCGTTTTTTTATTTGTTTTGGGTTTTTTTTCCCCCGTTTTGTTTTTTTGAGAAGGAGAAAGGAGTCCTCATGCGGGCCGCTGCAGTGATTCATCTTGAAGGGTCAAATCTCGAGGACGTGTTGCGTCTGCGGTTTTGTTGAGCAAGAGCCCTCTATCATGGCCATGCGCAGGCACGTCCTTCCTCTCTCGTCTGGGCAGGCCCGGCCTTCTTCCACCAGGCACTTTCCGGAATATTTCATCACTCTCACGCTTGCCTTGAAGGCCCACATTTCTTGAAGGGGAGATCATGGTGGAACCTGAGGCTGACTGGCAGATGGTTTCATGTTTGTTAACAAGACAGTATACCATGAGACACAAAAGGGTGTGTTTGTTGAACTCAACAAAGGTGATTAAACAGGGTTGAAACGACTTCCTAGAATATAAAAAAAATAAAAGTTTGTGATATCTTCACTTTTTATGTAGATTTTATACATCAATTGTAAAAGTATCAATTCATTTTTTTTAACATTTTGGTGAGTGCCACAAATGATTTAGTTGTTTTTTTTGTCTGTTTTTCCATCTTTCAGTTTTACAATTATGTCCATATAGAGCTAACAGTATACACCTAGGTGTCTGTATATCCCAGGCTTGTTGCCTTCTTGAATTTCTGTTTCATTGTTTCATTATGGTTCTGTGATGTCATTGATATCTATCTACATTTTTTCAGTACCACTACCGCGAGATGTCCTGTTGAACTAACTGCTGTCATATCACCCTCAGCTGGTCACCGTGTAAAACTCCAAGGGCTCTTTCCTCTGTGTGTGTGTATAGTACGTGCTTCTGCAGTTCTTACGGAGTATCTTGCTGGTCACACCAAGACGTCACATACTCTAAAGCAGCCTTTCTCAGTATCCCAGTGGCCATCAGGTGCTGACAGGCTGTATTGTGTCAATCTGATTGGTCAGTCACTTGTTTCACTGGGTGTCTTAAGTGTACAGATTTATGTGTGAGTTTGGTCACTACTGTACCTGACCTGACTCTGGAAATACCTGCTGTATAAGCACTTGTAGTGGATATGAAGACGTCCTCTGTGACTTTATGAATGCAAAGTAGAAAAGTCTGTAGCTTAGTATCTCTGTTTACTATAAATGCGTACTTTGTCATATCATGGTTTGGTCACTGGCCAAAAAAGGATATTAATTTGTAATGAATGATTTTGCTGTAGCACTGACAGTGCAATTTTATTTTTGAATTACTCTGCTGATTTTCAAAAGAGTATCTGCTATGTAAAAAGTCATATCCAGAGTTAGAAGTACCAAGACGCATATCTGACCAAATATGTTATCCATGACCAGCTCCTAATTAAGCAGTTGACACCACACATTGTTTTCTTAATGCAGGTAGTTTGTCCTTGTATCATATCACCAACCACAAAGCCTTATTCCAGGTACTATTCATTTCAGAATTATTCAGTTTTATACCAGAATATTGAGTTTTGATGTGCACCCACGAGGAAGAGAAATTGAGGTTTGCCACCTCACTTTCCTTTTGTTTTCCTAAAGTTGATGTCGATCATCCTAATTATGTAGTTCCATATCTGGCTGCCTCCGTATTAAAACTGAATGAAAACAATCTAATATGTGTAGCTTTCAGTTTCATTTCCATTTTTTTTTTATTCTGAGGTTGATGCTGCAAAATGAAAGACAAGCCACTAGAGATTCATTTGTCTTCCTTCTAAATCCTAAAGTCACCACCCACCCTCCACAAAAGAGCCTTTGTTGTGTTTCTTTCTTCAAGATGGCCTGAATACAGCCAACCAGTCATTGTCACAGTTGAAGTGCTGGTGTTGATCATAGCATCCTGACCAGATGCTCATACCCCCAGGTAGGTCACTAGAGCACTCGATGTCTGTGTAATTGATTTTGACAGACACGGTATGCCAGTTTTAGAACACTTTATTGAATGGGCTCTCCTAAGGTCTGTTCATTTGTCAAACATTTTGAGAAACAAAATTTTGATAAATGATAGATACTGCATGCACTAGAACATCCATGCAGAGTGTGGTTTAAGATCATGACATGAGCAGCAATAAGTCTTACAATTATCACAATGTTAATTGTCTCATTTGCAGAGGTGTTTTGGGAATACACATTGAAGGTGTTTTACTTTGCTTTTAAGAAAAGCGTTTTAACTGTATATCATGCCAATAAAATGTGGTGATTTGAAAGAAAATTAGCTCTCACAGCAGATTAGTAGGTACAATACTAGTTCTATGCCATATAACAAAGGCTCAAGCTGTGGATACTTTACAGTACAGTTGGAATCATGCAAACCAAAAATTAAATGCTTGAAATCCTTCATTAACAAGTTGCAGTCGTACTTGTAAAGAAGGGTTTTTTTTTTACAAAGTTTGCTTCTCCCTGTCTTATGTTTAACAGTGCCCTCCAAAAGTATTGGTACAACAGCCCAATCTTTTATTTTTATTTTACAGTCAAGAAATCCATATTTGTGATAATGAGATTTTTAGAAAGTAGTGAGATCCATATCCCTTTTTGTCTTTAGCTTGTGTAGTAATAAAATCCACAGCAAAATTCCACAGCACGACAGTGACCAAAAACATACAGCCATCTCCATGCAATCAATGAGATTTTCAGGAGAAATAAGTAGAAAATCTTAGACTGGCAAATCAGTTTCCAGATTTCATTTCAATTGAGCATGCATTTTACAGTACATGCTGAGAAAACAAAAATAAATCAACACCCAAGAGCAGGCACAAATACCTCAAATGATTACACAGTTTATTGCCTTCACTTGTTGTCTTAAACAAGATCAAATACTGACTTTCAATGAATATGTCAATGCTTACGGTAGCTTGAAATCTCTAGATTAAACACAGTATGTTTTTGTTTTATGTGAATAAATTTGTGAATCAAATTACCCAAAAATATTTATCGGACTTATCATTCATATTATTCTCATGATCACAAGTACAGATTGCTTGTATGGCACTTTTTGGAAGGTGTTGTTATAGTGATTATCATGTTGCTAGGCAAAGAGTAGGAGCTCGGAATCAGAATACAGGTACTGTAAACCTGCAAGAATGTATACTTCAAGAAGTTCAGAAATCTGGAAAAGCATGGTAACTTGACTGACACGATCTAGGTTCTCCCACATCTCCAGGATTTTCTGTGGAAACTTCAGCTGGGTTTAAAATTCTCTCCTGATGTTTCCAAAATAATGGGTTTACTTTCCTCTGAAGCCCTCTGTTGTCAACACTGGTGCTCAGTACGATTGTGGCCTCTCTGTTGTATCACCATGAGTCTCCCAAGTCAGCCTCGCCTCGCTCGGTCCCTTCTCCCCATCTAAGACCTGACCTCCTGAGGATGTAAGCGATCAGAACCCTGTCAAATGCTCTGTAATGTAATGTTGATCAAATTGCTTTTTTTTCTAATAAAATCTTAATTTAAAAAAATCCTTCTCTCTTGACCTCTCTGTAGCTTTTGGCCAAAAGGTCACGATGGGGGTTGTTTTTCAGATTTCCGACTTAAGTGACTTTAATGGCTCGTGCTCTGGAGGAAATGCTTTGGAGTTCCTTCTCTTAAAGATGTGCTTCGTTTTTTTCCCCCGGTGTAATTTGTTGTACTTGTATCATAAGTGGTGGCACAGTGGTTAGCATTGCTGTCCCGAGTTCATTTCTGGACCGAGGGTGCCATCTGTGTGGAGTTTGTACTGTGTGTCCTCCCTGTGTTTGTATAGGTTTCCTCCCACTGTCCAAAGATAATAGGTTAATTGGCTTCTGGGAAGAATGGGGCTCTGGTGTGAGTGTGTGTGTGTTTTTGTCTGCCCTGCAGTGGGCTGGTGTCCTGTCCAAGGTGTACCCACCTGATTGCCTGTTGTTTGGGACTCGCCTCCAACCCTGTAGTGGATTAGGTGTTTAGAAATGGATGGGTCTATTTTAAGTGATAGATTGGTCATTACTGTTCAGGATGCTTACACATAGAGCCCGATGACAGGACAGTGTGCTTGTGAGGACATGTGATGACCATTGTACAGCATGGGGGAAATCCAATCCTACATGCCACATTCACTTCACTTCCTCTTTAGCCTGGAAGAATGTATTAAAAACACGTGTTTGTCCTGATGGAACAGTAACACTTAAAAACAAAGCCGAGCTGCCAGAAACGGCAACTGATAATGGCAAACAAACATAGACAACAGGATATGACACAGGAAAAGACTGACATAACAGGAAAACAGCGATAATATAAAGTGTTTATATACCTGTTGGTGTGTTTTTTCCTCTGTCCTTTTACCTTTTGGCAGTGAGAGTTTACCGAGGAGGAGCAGGGGAAGCAGTTTGAGTACATTTCTGTTTCTTACTCGCTTCAGAGGCAGTCAGCACTCCTGCGTCACAGCTCACAGGTCCCGGGTTTGATTTCAGACAGTGATTTCAGTGTGTTCCCAATAAGTTTTCTCAGGGATTTCTGGATTCCCCCCCCTCCACCTCCAGTACCTTCCAAAGACAATGTCAGCTGCGTTAGTGTCCCTAATGTTGTCCCTGTGTGCCGGTTTGAGTGTGTGTGCTCAGCTCTGTGTCTACACGATAAGCTCTGAGTTGATAAGCTCTGAGACACCCTTCCCATGAATAAGCATTCCTGATTTTGGAAGAATTCCTGATAATATAGGGATAAACGCTAACAACTGAAGTAAGAAGTAATTTTCTTGGTGCAAAAAAATCTTTGCAACCATTTTCTTGCACTAGTCTCCACACGGTCCCTTCCAGCAATAGTATGAGTAGGGCGCAGCAGCTGTTTCTGTGTGTATTCTCATGGAAAGAAAGCTGGCCGACTCCTGCCTGGAATCTGTACGTCAGCTTTGTGGGATGGGGATGAGAGATCGCCTGCCTGCAGCAGGCTCTATCTGTGGAAAGCAGCTGGCGAGGTGACTGCCTGACAGTACACCACTCCTTCATCTCTCCAGATGAGAAACGCTCAAGGGACAACATGTTTGAAGGTGCCTGCGTAAGCTGTGGGTGGTGGGAGAGAGCAGGGAGTGTGTACAATAAAGCAGTGAAGAAGTGTGCTCAAGAGATGTGAAAATCTTTTTTTTCCAGTTGTTGCTAGCTGTTTGGAATTTAGAATTTTAGAGGCCTATGGAGTTAAAGCAGAGATCTTCTATGGGGCTTTTTCAGAGAGCCAAATCTTTCAAATTATTGCCTATAGAAATCAATTACCATCGAGTGGCATGGATTAGAGAAAACTAGCTGCAGAAGCAGACCCACCAGAATGATGACTGTATTTGGCTCACTTTTAATTCCCTTCCTCACACTTCCAGCCTTTTCTTAATATGCCCCCCAGTGGTGAAAATGAGAAGAAACCAGCTGTTTGTGGTCAGCTTTGTCCACAATAGCTTACTACTGAAGTGAACAGATGCGGAAGAAGCATCCACCCGAAAGCACTTTACTGGAGAACCACAGACACTGATTTAATAAGTAAATGAGGTAGTCAAAGGCACAGGCAGAGGAGCAGTGCTATAAACTGCAGCTTTAAGGACAAAATGAATCAGCACAAACACACCGATTCATGAAGGGGGTTAAAAACAGTACAGCTGCCATGCAATAAGTGCCAATGAAGCGAAAGTCCAGGGACAACAACAAACTGAAACAGACACAAAGAGGAGAGCTGTGTACAGTAGTTTGCATTCTTGAGACACACACTGAGTTAAAGATGGACAGACGCATGCAGTTGTTAGGAGTCTCCACTCCCTGATTTAACATTTACCGAAATCCCTGGATCGATTCATCACTCTGCCACAACTCAGATCACTTTCTGATTGCACTGTGCATAATATAATCAATGCTTTAGTTTTGCATAAGTAACCAGGGAGAACTTGGCTTGAAGGTGTTATATTTCGGACAGCTCTGCAGGCCACACTCATCCCTGAACTCTAATCTCACTGCACCGCTGTACCTGGGGGGACATGTTCTGGAGAAATGCAGCATTACAGAACTACAATTATTGCACCTGTTTTCTGGTACAGAGAGCTTACTCTGGAATCCAAATCTCAAATGCAGAGAGTGCAAAACCTTCGTTTAATACTACACTGTAGATCCAAGTGAAACATGCATTAATGGATCAAAAACACTGCAACCCACATAATTAGCCGGAGCTACACACATCTTACTGTCATGTGTGTATTCCCTGAGAAGATAAGCAACAATAACCAAAAAGGCATCGGTCATTGCTAGATGGGCGACTCACTACGGGTTTATGGGGAATAAAGAGAGTTTAATACAATTGTTTACATACCTGCTATTATGTAGCATAAATTAAGAACTATATTAAACTAAAATCTGGGCATGATCAATTTACCTTTATGGACTATATTAGTCAGGGGTGTGTTATTTTTCTTAATTTAGTTTTACACTCTGCCCCTTCGCACAATTTTGATTTGCAGTGTCAACTGTTAATAAGAACTGCTGACGAGAGTGAATAGTGATAATTAAAGGTTTCTCAAACATTTTGCAATGTAGCACTCGTGAGATTCAAAATCTGGGAATGCCAGAGTGCGGCTCAGAGCACTAGCCGAGGCTGTTTCAGTGTGAAATTCACGCCACCTACTGGTTACGCACTACTGCTGAGGTGGCCTTCCTGACACCTTATAACTTAAAAACAATCTCAGGCATTAAAGAAATAATACATTTCAATCAATTCCTGAAGGCAAGCAATTCATCTGTGCATTCTCTGTCTGTTGGAGTGAAGGTGAAAGAGACTGGCTTGTGTGTTCTCATCACTAACTGCCTGCTCTTTGGCTAATGGAGATAATCTGGCATATATAAAAAGAGACGTCAATACCTCATAGCAGATGATAATTGAGAAAGTGAATACCTATTGATTTCAATTAAACTTGTCTATTTTCCACAGGACATGGCCAAAACCATCTTAAAAAAACCTCTGCCGATGAGATGACTTGCAGAAATCCTGGGCCATATGCTGCCCACACTGTTTCATCCAATTCCTGTGAATTAATCTTGTGATTCAGTGTAGCGATGAAGACATGTGCTTTTCTATATAAACATGGCTTTGGGCACAATGCATAGCATTGCTGGACAAGCTTATTTCAGTGTTATCTTTAAAACAACAGGGGAACTGTATGGAAAAGAGAAATGATAAACTGCTCCAAATAAGTACATTATCACAGAGTTTTATATACAAGAGTTTGCATATACTGTACAAGTATTTATATATAGTAGATGGCCCACTTCTTTCACTACCGAGAGCAGAACCAGTTAAATTCATCATTAAAGCGTAATGAAAAGCACACAACCAATCAAAGCCTCAAGTAAGAACAGCCAACCCTGAACACAGGGAACCAGATAGAGGTGTTCAAAATGACCACAAGCTAGCAAGTCCATACTTTGTGTCACACTGAGCTAGAACATACAGAATCTCAGTGTTGTTGCACAGAGATATTAATCTCCATGGGGAGATCCATTCTGCACTGCTGTACAGGGATACCCAAGGCTTCTAGGTCTTCTTAAAACAGCCGCACAAGATGCACTGGGAGGAAATGGTAAATTATAGTCCAGCTATCCAAATAATGAGCTGATTTAAGTGAGGTCACATAGTCGGAACCTCTGTCTTGTGTTGCATCTTCCGTAAGAAACTGAAACATCATCTTTTTGGGATGTAGCTTTATGCCTGCCAAGCAGCACTGAAACTCCTCAACTGTGCAGCATCCTCGTACTTAAGTAACACTGTCCTTCATTGTTCTCTGTGGTTTTATTGTTGTTTAAAATTGCTGTTATCTGCCCTCTTTGCAGTTTGACTGCTTGAGACTGCAAATCGCTTTAGATAAAAGTGTCTGCCAAATGGATAAATGTAAATGGAAGAAATGAACTGGAACTGCAAACTTGCAGCCCCTCCAGGTTTCCAACACCCAGTTTAGATCCTACAGCACATTCCAAAATCCCCAGGAATGCACTTTACACAATTCATGTAAAGGCTGTTATTAAAACAGGAGACCACATTTTAATTGCAAAGTTTTATTTGTTCAGCACGTTGTCAGTAAAAAAGACATAACACTTTTTTGGTGATCACAGCCCCATTCTAATGCTTTACCATTTCAGCATGGATATACCACCATTTCAGCTGGTACCTTTGCACGAAATTAAACAAGACTTCGACAACACTACCAATGCACCAGAAGTTTGTGTTAATATAGAGTACATAAAACGTAAGCAGCAAAAACAATGTATTTTATGGATATAAGTTCTGTCTCACTTTCACATACTTTAACACTTTTTACATTTTAGAAGGTGGACTTCAAAGCATATATATTTTAACTGGAAAGTATAACGCAGTCACCTTTCAGTTCTTACGTGTAGTAAAACAGCAATAAATACGATACAGAATCACCTGCCTAAATTTACTTTTTAAATTGATGCTACAGCATAGCCAAACCATTCTCTTGGCAATAAACTGTCTTTCCATTTAATATCTGAGCTTTGCAATGAGTACAGAAAACCAAGGAAGCCAACTGTACCAGAAGCAACAACTCATCTTCACTTCATTTCTCCAATGGCCTCCTCTGCCACTGACATGCATGTTTCTTTTAAGAATGACTACTGTAAAAAGTGCTGATAGCATGGTTATGCTTGGTGTGCGTTTTCAAAGCCAGAAATAATAGGAATAGAGGCTTCCAGGTCACCTGTTGAATCTATTTCTGGTTGTGTGTTTGTGTTTGTGCGTTTGCAATGCCTGACACAATTCAGTGTCATCACATTATGCCACTTCAATGATCTAAACTGTGGTAAAAATTCTTGCAGTTTTAGATTTTCACGAAATTATAGTTTGCAAAACAAAAGCAGCTTTCCTATTTATGCCGCTCAGAAATTCCATATGCTACCCTGGGGCAAAGTTTGCCTGGCTAAGCAGGAGAATGTTATCCTCAAGTACTTCCTTGAACCACTCAATGATATTTTCACTGGACTAATCTACCATACAGGAATTAATAATTCCGTGGAAGCAACCGAGTTCAGATGATCAGAATAGACCCGTTGGTTATTGTGAATTAGTGGAGCAAACACAAGATCCTGATCCCTCAGCTATTCCACAGCCTCAGCAATAAAATGAAATTGTGCAAAATTAGAACTGGAAGAAAACAAATTAAACTAGCTCTTAAAAGACTGTGCAGCATTGTCCAGTTGAATAATGGAACAAATTGAATGATGGAAGTAATCTACCCAACTCTCTTCTACTGTTGCAGATACCCAGGACTCTAACATCTACGCTACAGATATGACACAATGAACATGGCAGGGAACAATGAAATACTTGTATATTCATGTTGTGAGAGGTTGAAGCTGCCCTCAGCCCCTCGAACGAATCTTGCTGCACTCTGGTAACCATTTTGTATGGTATATGGTAACAGTCATCGAGCTCTGCCATCGATGTACTCTTGTTTTTTCACTATCAGGATATTTCCTTCAACCAGGAAACAGAAATTACATATTTAAACATTACAGCGTGGAGTTGAGCCAGAGTGCAGGCTGAAAAAGGAGCAAATAAGAGATTAATTCCTTAATCAAAAAAATGAAATACATCATAAATGACTTATTAATCTCTTTTAACAGAAATCTTTTGATGTACAAACTGCTGCCTTACGTATCTCCCTCATGACTTTGACTCTTCTTCCCCACTTTTCCTCTTTTTACTGCCACTCTTCATGCGTTTTCTCCACCCCGCCTCCATGTCTCATACTTCTCTCTCCTGCACACATACCCAAATGAGTCTCTTGTTTCCTACAGTATATGCAACATACATACCACATATCAAATAAAGTCATGATATTCATTAGGACTGTCACCAAAAGTGGGCTGTACTTTAGACTTTGCGGTATTTATCTTAGTTGTATTTTCGTGGCAGCTACTCTAGAAGAAAGGAAAGGCACAAATTCCCTCCAGCACAGGGGAATTCTAAAATGTGAATTCTTAAAATGTAAATGCTGTCAGCATACTTCAGCAGTGCCTATCATTATAGGGTACCATAATGGCCACTACTTCCACTCTGGCCACAGAAGACTGCTCAGAAAGTAGATCCATCTGTGTATCTCGCAACATGAAGCAACCCTTAATCTTTGCACAAGCTAGATGAAAATCTATACATCTTTCTCCACATGACAACAAAACTACAAAATGGCATGCATGAGTACCATCATTACACCTTAAGGTGAAATAAGAATTTATGATGCCTGAAGAAAATCATTCATTTACACTAGTGCCTATATGTACTGCTAGCTTACACCTTAAACGTTCACAGCCAGATGCTGTTGTTAATTTGTGAGCCTCTAGTGATTTATTCCAGGCTGCACACATACACATAACACAGCTCTACAGTGCTGTACTGTGATGCACTGCCTAGGAAGGCTTTGACATTTTCCCTTGGCTGAGCACAGCTGGTCTTTCTTTTACAGAGTATTCAAAGGGGAATCCAATGTCTGCCAATGTAGAATATATTGAGCTAGGGTTTCAGTTTCAAATTACACCATTTTGCCCTTTCTGGCAACTTGGTTGAGTTCAGTCTGCTCACAGTCATGCTGGCAGAAATGCAGCTACATGTCTAACCTGACATAGCTGGGACTGCATGAGAAAACTGAGCAG